CTGGCCTGCAGTGACACATCTCCTCCAACAAGGCCACACCTCCTAATTCTTCCCAAACAGTTCCACCAACTGGGTGTCAAGAATTTGAATATATAAGTCTATGGGGGCCATTCTCACTTAAACCACCACACTAGCTTATCAGGAGCCTGTTCCCATAACCCAGAGGACACCTGCCTGCTTTGTTTTGAGTCTGTTTCCCCACACGGCTGATGAAATAATGAAAGCCATTTTTAAACACAGAAGAGGGAGACTTATTAAGAAATGTCCTTCTTCCTGCTGTGTGGCAGGCCTAAAGCTGTTCATGCGGAGCCAGTGACCTCAGGCTAAGTGGCCAAATGCAAAAGAGCCAGAGTAAATTCTCCTCAAGCCACCTTGGCACCAGGTCTCAGTGAGAATCTACTCAGCTACTATTCTATGGTGCCAGTCCCAATGGCCCTGTTGCTTCAGGCCCAGCTGCGGCTTCTAGTCAGGCTCCTGTTTCTGTTCTTTTTCTCTCTTTCACTGTTCTTCAGGGACCCTGGCCACTTCTATTGGGGCCAACTCTTCCAGTGTTCCCTAGAGGAATGAATGGAGGTGAATTTCTTAGGGACCATCATGGGGCTAACTCTGTCCATTGTCTGTAGATGAACCACAGCCTCCAGCATAAACTTCATAGAATGGGACTCCAGATCCCATTGTCTTTCTGAATTAAACCCCTCCTTATTCTGGGGCCTACCTGATGCTCACCTCATTCTTATCTCCTGTCTCCCCATCTCTTAGCGTCTCCCACCAAACTGCTCCCTGTCTTTTCATGGCTGTGTAGACTTGGTTGAGCACAGGATTTTCCAGGTGGGTGAATGGATGGAGGAATGAGTACCTTTTAGTATGATTGTTAGAACCACAGCTAAACCTGATGGTGGTCAGGGGAGGTGTCTGAGCGACCTTCTGTTGGAACTTGGCTTAGGAAGATAAACACTGTCCACAGCTAAGAAGGACATGTTGAGGGAGGAATAGAGGCAGCATCTTGGAGAGCATGGAAAATTGCAGGAAAAAGTCGGGGTTCAGGGACACTAGGCTTCCAACCCTGCAATCTTCTCCTTGTCTGCTATATTTAGATATGCCACCGAGCCTTGGTTTCTCTGTGTACTTTGTTGGCATTTGCAGAAGGATAATTCTTTTGGACGGCATCAACCCTGGTACTCCACTCCTTGTCTGTGATATTTAGATATGTCATTTCACTGACTTAAATAATGGTTTCCTCATTGGTGAAATGTGTACACTAAAGTCTACCCCACAGGACTCTGGAAGATGAGCTGAATAACAGACAGGAATGCCCTGTGTGACCCAGGGTATGCTTTCAGACAGGTTTGGATATAGCCTGAGTGTCTCCCCAAGGACCATGTACTAGAACGGGTCCTCAGGAGAGCTGTGTTGAGAGATGTGTCCTATAGGCTGAAGATGGATGCCCCAATGTCACAGAGAAACTTTGGGTGACTGTCTAGGTAATTAGATGTCTCTGTCAATTCCAGGGTTTATATTATATCTTTCTGGGGTCTTTGAAGACAGATAGTTATGCCTATGGTTTTCCTTAGTTATGATAAAAGATGAGTTACATATAAAAATTTAGACTCACAAAGATAGGCTAGATAATAGAATATTTTCTTTAAATTTTGCCAAATGTTAGTGGACTAAATATTGTCAACTATAGTTCTTGCTTGATAGCTTTTTCATTATATATAATTTTACTATATCAAAGTTAAAACCTTCATTTTTATTTAAACAGAAAACAAGAGATGATGGGTGATGTCCTTCTGTATGCTGTGAATATATGTTTCTCTTATTGGTTGATGAATAAAGCTATTTTGGCCAATGGACAGGCAAGGTGTAGCTAAGCAGGAAGTATAGTATAGGTGGGGGGAATTCTGGGAAGAGGAAGGAAGAAGGAGAGAGTCTCAAGAGGTACACCATGTAGCTGCTGAGGAAGCAAGATACCTGGTCATCACCAGTAAGCCAAGACCATGTGGAGATACACAGATTAATAGAAATGGGTTAATAATTAAGAGAGAGCTAGCCAATAAGAAGCCTGAACCATAGGCTGAACAGTTTATAAGTAATAGAGCCTCTGTGTGTTTATTTGGGACTGAACAGCTGCAGGACAGGGTGGGACAGAAACTTTTGTCTACAGATCTCTGTGAGTTTGGGGTCAACCTCGTCTACAAAGTGAGTTCCAGGACAACCAAGGCTATGTAGAGAAACTGTGTCTCAGAAAGCAAAAATGAACAAAGAAAAGGAAGGAAGGAAGTTCTCAGACTCTTAGCTAGGAGGATGACAGTAAAAGGAGAAATAAGGATTTGAACCCAGCTGAAAACGTTTCTTCCAGTCCGTGATGGTAGCTATCATTTAGAGAAACTGGCCTCTGGACTGGAATTCTCCTTTAACACATTTGTCCTGCTGTCAGGGGGAAAACTGCATTTGCTTTTGTAAAGGCCATGAAATCTGCACTGGAGATATATTGCAATGGCAGAGTACTTGCCTGGCATGTATGAAACACTAGGTCTAACCTCCTGCCCTGTAACGCTGAAGCAAACAGTAACAAAATCTAAGTGTGTCAGCACAGAAAAGCAGTAAGACAATTTCCCACTCAGAGAAGATGCAGGCCTAAGACACAGCTGATCCAGGCTGAGTTAGAAACAGAGACCAAATCTGTACACTCAGACCAAGTTCACTTCTTCTCCCCAAAGTGGAAGGTTCTGGAACACCAGTGCCCAGGTTCTACATCCAGATGCTTCATCAGCTTTGCTTCGAGAAGTTACATCGCCAGTCTATGTCTGAGTTCCATTATATACTGGATCATGATAGCTATTCCCTTACCAGGTTCTATTTACTAAAGAGAGACTGAAGTCAAAGTGTGTGTGTGCGTGTGTGTGTGTGAGCGTGTGTGTGTGTGTGTGTGTGTGTGCGCGCGTGTGTGTGTGAGCGTGTGTGTGTGTGTGTGTGTGAGCGCATGTGTGAGCAAGAGCATGTGTCTGCTTGGGACGGTACTTGGTGTTTTATAAAGCACTTCAACATGTTAATTACTCTTCTTTTATTCTTGGCTTTGTGCCACTTGGCATCTGCGGCCATATCTGATTTTGTTCTGACAACCTGAGGTAGGAGCTTCCTCACTCCACAGAAGAGGAAACTAACACCCACCTGGTAGAAAGAGTCAGTTAGGAGCACCAGAGGGAGTATGCTGTGTGCCTCTGCGGGGACTTGCTGCACCTTTTGGCATGCCTTGGGATGACTTCCTGGTATGTTCAGGATGGTTGCTCAGTGTGAGAAAAGAACTCTCAGAGAGGGTTAGGAGGGTAAAGGGAGAGAGGGCACATTATTCTCTGGACATCCTGCAGCAGAGGTTGTGGGGAAGTGGCGTCCCCACTATCCCTTGCAGCTCACACCTCTCAGACACTTCCATGTGGCCACTGACTTGCAGAACCTCAAGACACATGTGTTTCCCTTCACAGCCTCCAGTGGTGCTTGGATTCAGGTGCAAACATCCCCATCTAGTCTTTCCATGCATGCGGTTCTACCCCAGCTTTGGCTTATAATGTGAGTTCCTCATTCCAGACTCCCAGGTGTATTCTGAGTCTAAACAGGGTTGCTCAGCTTTGGCTGCACGTGGGGTTCATGTGGGGAGACTGCGTTGATGTTGACGGCTGGATCTCATCCCAGAGATTCCAACAAAGTTGCTCTGGTCAGGGGGTGACCTCAATAACGGGACTTTCTAAATCATCTGGTGTTTCTTATGTGAAGTAAAAAACTGAGTGTGCCTGATGTGCCTGAGGCGAGTTCTCAGTGCCATCTCACCACACTTCCTTAGCAGCCACAGCCTGTTCAAAACTCTCTTTAAAAGGCTTTGTTAGTGGTCTCAGGATAGCTCAACCACCCACCCTGACACATTCTTCTATCAAAAACCTCTGCGCTTTCAAAACAAATGACTCAGCCCCAGCCAATCAGCCAGCTCTTTATCTCCATTTAGTTCCCCTCCATTGATTGGATGGAGCCAAGTGGTTAAGACGCACACAATGCCCTCCTGGAGATGCCAATGAAAAAAACTGAACAGATGGAACGATCCATTGTTTCATCTCCAGCCCGGGGGCAGGATCATTTACCTGCAAACCCTCACCTCCTAAAGCCTCCGCTCTCTTGGTTAGACCTTACACAGACGTTCCCACCTATGTCTGTGGGATGCCACCCCTCTGCCACCTCCATTCTTTTGTCAGGAGATGTGCCATCAGCCTCGGCTGCTTCCCAGCCTCATCTCCCCAGACATCCCCCTGCAGCCACGCCGTCCCTGGGAGCTTCCCCCACTCTGCACATTCGCTTTCATCATTGCCTTAAATACCTTTTCCCTCCCCAACACTGCAAAGCTTTACTCACCTTCAAAACTCTAATTTGGATATTCTGCACTGCAGTTCATCTGTGCCGCCCTCCCAGCCCCTCCCAGCCTCTCCCCACCCTTTGAGATGCTCAGTCCAGTATTTACCACAATGCACCGGGTTCATCTGAAGAAGGGTTTTGCAAGTTCGTTTTTTGTTGTTGTTGTTGTTGTTTTTTAAATAATCAACTGCTAGGACAGGGGCGACCTTAGCAGGTACAAACTGAATCCAAGGGACTGAATCCAAGTCCCTGCCTTCCTATCTTTACCAATCAATTTTTGAAACCCCTCAAGAAAATTAAGACAGGGTTGTTTTTTTTTCCCCTTCATCACTATGTAGAAGCTTGTGTGTATTCACCTGCCATGATACAATCTTAACAAGAAAACATTAATTTTCTTGCCAGTGTATGTAGATATGAACAAACACCATAAATCTGCAATAACAACACAGGAGATATTTCATCTCTGGATAGAATATTTTCCAAGGAAGGGAGCCTATTTGGTGCCTGGGAGAACGAAAGGGTTTGAGGCGGTGAATCTTTTGCTGCTTGGGATCTTGGGTTGGGGTAACCTGGGGGACAAGGGAAGGAAGATCACCTATTACCTTCTCCGGAGCAGACAGCTGTAAATGATTAACCTCCAAGGGCGTGATGAGAGGAACAGTCTGGAAGCCATCCTCCACCGAAGGCGGCTTGGCTCCCTTCTCTCCAGGGTTGCTGTTCAGCTTCACCATACTTCGGTTTTTTTTCCAGACCTAAGGCAAGCAGCAGAATTCTGGTTACAGCGGGAGGATGAGGGGCTGACGATAGTCCACTACAGCTCCCCTCCAGCAGCGTCCACTCTGGTGCTGGCCATCAATCTCCCACTCGATTTCCTGACATGGTTCCCATTGTCCAAGGAAACTTCATTAACCAGCAGAGTGTGCCAACTGCCCACTGAGTTCACCAACCCTCAAATTAGGGAGCAGAAAAAAAAGGAAAAAAATCTCAGATCTTCATTAAAAAAAAAAAGCTTAAAAATACGAAGACACCATAGCTAACATATCCCTAGAACCCCACTGGCAAGCTTGTTTTCAGCACAAAAGGAAACTCCATTACTATGGGTCCCCTGCAGAAGGATACATTTCACCTCACCACCCACACTGCTTTTTACCTTTTCTTCCCGATCTCTTAAACACAATTAAATACATTCAACATCTCTCACCTTACCTTTTTAAAAAACACAATATGTAGATTGTACACGAGATTCGCGTTTCAAAATCGGAAAGGGGCTGTGTTGAACCTAATCTCGTTATTCAGCCATAAAATACCTCCATTTCCTCAATAGCCAAGGGCTTTTTTTTTCATGGAAAGTTAGCAGCCCCCATATTGCAAGATTGCCAACTAAATAAACAAATACGTTTATTTCTCTGCAGCTCCCTTTGAAGTCAAGCATTGCTTTCACCCCACCCTCAAAAGCCCAGCACAACTGAATTTCTCCTGTCAGTCCTGCGGTGGGACATAATTAGACAGAACAGGGTTGTTGTGGGGATGACAGGGTGGTAAGGGCTGGGAGGAGGCTGCGGAGTGGTTACAACAAAAACAAATGCCTACTTACTGTGCAGCACTGGTGGGGGTCAGAGCAGAGTCAAGCCAATATGTAGAGGAGGAGGACAAGCAGGAGTCCTCCCTCCACAGACCGAGCTCGTGGCGCTGAGAAAGCAGCCCTTGCGTGCCTGGATCCGGAGCTTCTGAGAGCAAGGCGCCAGCGCTCTTGGCAGCTGCCAGCCTGCTCGCCTGCTCGCGCCTCCCACCGGGGACGGATCCCACACCACCTGTCATCTGGCACCACCTGCTGTTTCTCATGCATGGCCACAACCCCTGCATAGGACAAACGGTTTCAAAAAAAAAAAAGTGGAAGGGATTTTGGCTATGCCAAAAACAATAATCTGGCTTTTAAAAATTATACAATTATGTAAAACGGGATTCTTGAATCTTTGGTTGTGTGTGGGGGGGTGGAGACTAGAAAAAGCAGGCACTAATTTTTTCTTTTTTAGGGGAAGGGCTCACCTCTTACTAAAGCTTCCCTAACAATATTCAATACTATAAAGCAGAATGGTTCAAAACACCTGCTTTGTACAATTCCACTGCCAGAGAGTCTGGGAAACAGAACCTTCATCCAGTGACTGATGAAAGCAGAGGCAGATACCCACAGATAAAACACTGAACTGAACTCCTGGAATCCAGTGACATAAAGGAAGAACTGATGGGCAAAGGAGTTAAGACTGAGCTGGTTTAACCCACAGAAACAGTTGGCCTGAAAAAGGGGGAGCTCTTGGACCCCAGATTGACCCAGACCCCCTGAATGTGGGTGTCAGTGAGGAGGCCTAGGTAACCTATGGGGCCTTGGGTAGTATTTATCCCTGGCGTACAAACAGACTTTGAGTGCCCATCCCACAATGTGGGATGCTCTCTCAGCCGGGACTCTTGAAGGAGGACCTAGACCGTACCCTGGATGACATGACAGACTCTGGAGATCCTCCATGGAGGGCCTCACCCTCCCTGGGGATTGGAGTGGAGATTGGATGGGGGGCTAGGGAGGTCTGGTGGGGAGGGATGGGGAGGAGGGAGGGAGAGGGAGCTGTGATTGACATGTGAAGCAAGCTTGTTTCTAACTTAAATTAAAAAGAAACACAGTTGAAAAACAAACAAACAAACAAACAAAACACCTGCTTTGGAGTTAGAAGACAAAGTAAACTGGCAATTATTTCTCATTTCCCATGCAGTAATACCTTTCCCATCTCTTTCAAGCTTCCACCCTCACTTGCAAAATGTGGTTTCTAACTGACTTGGAAATGGGGGCCGCATGCAGAGTGCACACGCCAGCACGAAACAGTGACCTGGAAATGGGGACCGCATGTAGAGTGCACACGCCAGCAGGAAAATGGGGATCATGAAGCACTGCACAGACTTGAGCTGTTGAGCTCACAATTGCCCCAGGCTTGTCCAGGGCAGCTAAGGTCACAGACCTGGAAAAGATCAGAACTAGGATTTGAATGCTGACTCTCTGTCCCCAAAGTCCCTATTAGATGACACGCAGTCTGATGTCCAGAGTGGGAAGGGGTGAAGCGGCAGGGTCAGCCCTGACTCTGTGGCTCCTGCACATTGAATAACTGCACACTAAGCCCCTGCTTCCTCATCTCTGGCTGAGGATAACGCTTCCATTGCAGAATGACAACGAACATGGGACGAGAATATACCCACAGAAACACCTTTGACTTGTGAACAGTGTTCTGAATGCCTAGTCCAACCATAGAGATGGTTCAAGTCCACTGCCAGGGACATCTCCCAGGTGTGGCTCCAGTCCCTGTTGGCTGTTCATCACCAGCTACAGTGCGGTTCCTGTGTTTCATGACCACCTGTCCCAGTATTGAGCACCCTCCTCACTTTGATTTTCTAATATCTTGTCATGTGTGCTAGAAGTCACCCCAGTTAGTTAAAAAGCATGGGAAAGTGTGCGTCATCTGTACCGTTTGGAAATAAAACCACGTGTGTGTGAAGAGGTTTATGAGGCTGTGAAGGCTGTCACACATGGGAGCTGCACACATTAAAAGAAGATGCAGTATGTGAGAGGGAAGTATTCTAAAGAATATCTGTCTTCCTTCCCCTCCCTTCCAAAGACCGCAATGACTTCCAGGTTCAAGCATTGCACAAGGCCAGTGCAATGTAGTCAACAACCGCATGTTCAACTGAGAACATTTTTATCCAATCATATTGCTGCCGTTTCAAAGTACAAAGAAATTCCCTATGACAGCTCCTGACTGATTGACAAGGGGGAAACAACAACAAAAGAACACATACACTATTCAATCCAGAGGTCCCCAGAGTTTAGTGAGGTGCAGAAAAGGGCTTGTCTGGAGGCCAGGAGATACCTAGGCTTGGTTACACATTAGGCTAAAAGATAAGTTGGGAAGAGGACTGTGGTGGTCTGAAAGAAAATGGCCTCCAAAGGAGAGACCCTGCTAGGAGATGTGACCTTGTTGGAGTAGGTGTGGTCTTGTTGGAGTAGGTGTGGTCTTGTTGGAGTAGGTGTGGTCTTGTTGGAGGAAGTGGGTCACTGTGGCAGTGGGATTTGAGGTCTCTTATGTTCAGATACCGATTAGTATTCTCAGACCACTTCCTGTTGCCTACAAGATGTGAGACTCTCAGCTCCTTCTCGAGCCCCTTATCAGCCTGCACACTGCCACATCCCACCATGATGATAATGGGTTGAACCTCTGAACTGTAAGCCAGCCACACCAATTAAATCTTTTCCTTGTAAGAGTTGCTGTGGTCATAGTGTCTCCTCACAGCAATAGAAACTCTAATTAAGACAAGGACTGTGGTTGGAGTGACGTGTAGGATTCTTACCTTGTTGTAGAATGAAGTTGAGGGTTCCAAATAAAGCAGTATCATTCTGGCATAAAAAAATGTGTTGGGGGGGCTGGAGGGATAGCTCAGCGTTAAAGGCTAGGCTCACAACCAAAATATTAAAAAAGTTAAGGGTTGAAAACAAATACTATCACACCTTTTGATGAGGTTTTCAGTGTATGTGACCCGTAAGACAACTATTGTACAGAGTCTGAGGAAAGGAATCAAGATGGTGTCAGTGGTTCGTTCTGTGGACCACTTAGTGTAGTAAAGCTTTGAGCCCAAGTCACCTGTGAAAAGTTAAGTATGTCTATTGCAATCTTGGGACAGCCAAAAAGATACAAAGATGTGTGTGTGTGTGTGTGTGTGTGAGATGATAAAAATCAATAGACACATTGAAATAGAATAAAATAAAGTTCAAATAACCAAAAAGAGGTAGAAAAAATAGAAACCAAAAAGTTGAGAGAACGAGAGTAAAGAAATGAAACTGTACACTGATATTTAAGCATATGGTAGAAACAAACTAATTAAAAATGGTTTTGTCAACATGGAGGGGAAATGGGTATGAACTGCACCCTAGCAATAGGAAACACAGTCCAAACACAGTGTAACTAGGTCAGTACCTATACAGCGTTAGCAGTAGCTACCTCTTCCTGGTCATCTAGGCTTGACCACAGCAAGATCAAAGTTGTGAGCCTAAGACAAATGGGTAGCAAAGTCAGTGCTCTGTCTGTCTGACCTCTAATAGCAACCTCCTGGGTCTTCCAAACAAAACCAAACCTGACTAGACTGTTGCAGCAATGCTAAGAAAACAGTTTACTAGAAAGGCCCATGGACTCCAGGGACCATTCAGAACACACAGACCCAGGTTACAGAGTACGAGGTTCCTGCCTCTACCCTCTATCCCCTTCAGGGAACTAACCAGAGATAGAAAGAAACAGAAAACAACAGCATACGGCACTTGTGATGATCCCTAAGGTTTCTGACAGATTTGGCTGGTCTCAGCTGCAGAAGAACTCTGCATTTCTGTAAGAGGTACTGGGGTTCCCTCTGCAGCCTGCAATAGTGATGCGCAGCACAGCTATGCATTCTAGAGGACAACATAATGGCATCTCAGTATGTCTAGCTGTTTAAGAACTACGAAAGAAAAGAGTTCAATTAAGCATCATTTGACAACAGAAAAGAGAAATGAAAAGGGGGTTTAGAAAGGCAGATGACTGGGATGGTACCATGTGGCTGTTTGCTTCTACCATGAACCTGTTTGGATGAAGAAGCACCCAGGGCATTGAGGCACAGCTCTGGGTGTATCCTTGAGGGCTCCCCCGGAGAGGGTTAGCTGTGAGGAAGATCATCCCTGAATACCAGGGGCAGGCCACTTTCCCATGCGCTGGAGTCTCAGAACAAGTAAAGTGGAAAAGGAGAACGCCAGCTGTGTGGGGCCAACTCCTCCCTCTGCTTCCTGCTTCCTGACAGCAGCTGGTCCCCAGACACGCCTCCTGCCAGGATGGATGGAAGCTCCAGATCCATGAGCCAAAGCGAAGCCCTCCTCCCTGCAGCCGTGAGGACAGGAACAAATGCATGATCCAACAGGGCCAGACACAGCAGACCCCAGGGAGAGAAAATGGAGATAACAGGAGACTTTGACCAGCTAGTACGGATTCATTAAAAAGGTGCCGAAATCTTAATATCTGTAAGACTAAAAAGTAAAGCCTCTACATAGACAACCCACACTGTCAGATAAAGGGGTTCCACGCGGGACTCTGTTACAATGACAGACACCAGTACAGCTGGAATGAATGAATGAATGAATGAATGTGGCACATACAGAATTCACGTTAAGACCATGAATGCATTGGATGGATAGTTACTTTTGGGAGAAGCGGCAGGCTGTCTTGCGTATTTGTTGACAATATCCTTGCATTTACCTATTAGGTGCCAGTAGTATCTCTGAAGGTCCAAATTGTGTTGACCAAAAAAAAAAATGCCTCTGGACGTTAGCAAATAGCCCCTAGCAGATGGCATAAGAACTGCCAGTTAGAGGAGAACTGAAAGATCCCCGGAGTATCTGTCAGT